TTACTGAACTCCCAAAAAGGGGAGCAAAATCTAATCTTCTTGTATTTGTGGATTTATTCACTGGATGGCCAGAAGCCATCCCTACCTCCACCCAAAAAGCCAGAGAGGTGGTGAATGCCTTAGTTGATTACATTATCCCAAGATTTGGGGTCCCTAAGGGTCTTGAGTCTGACAATGGCAGGCATTTCACCTCACAGGTTACTCAGGATGTCAGTAAGTTTTTAGGCATCCCTTGGCACCTCCATCTGTTTACAGGCTTCATCGAAAGTGGAACGTTTGAACAGAACCCTGAAAACACACTTGTCGAAATTATGCCAAGAAACCCAACTCCCCTGGCCTAAGGTACTACCACTAGTCTTAGCAAGAATTGGAGCCCTGCCTTCAGGGAAATTAGGATTGTCACCCTTTGAAATGATGTATGGGAGACCCTTTGTTGCTTCTGCCCTGCCAGATTCTAGTGAAGGGGAAAGAAATATCACCTCATATTTGCATAATCTGGCGCAGGTTTTGTCCTCTATCTCTAAACAGGTCCAGTCCGCTTTACCTCCAGCTGCTGATGTGCCACCATTGGCTGAACCGGGCCAGTGGGTAAGGATCAAAGAACTCTCTCCCACCTGCACTCAGCCCAAGTGGTCTACACCCCGTCAGGTTCTTCTGAGCACCCCCACGGCTGTGAAAGTGGACGGCGTCAAAGCGTGGGTCCACGCATCACGAGTCAAGCCCGTCCCCGAGCCCCCTGAGCAGTGGCAAGTCCAACAGCTGGAAGGACTCAAGCTGAAACTTCACCACTCCCCAGCATCGCCTGCTGACCTGTTCAGTGATGAACTGGATAGACTGGACACCCATTGAATATATTTGATTTGCTGTTTTTGTTGTCTTTGCTGTTTTTCTGCTCTGTTGCTGCTGGTTTCCCCGCACATTCTTTGGAAAAGGTGACAATGGCTCTGATCTTTATTTTGGTTCCACAACTTGTCTCAATGTTTTTGATCCTCGGGACTTTTATACCCGCAGCCAAACTCTTCCCCAACTGAACCTCACATGATCCTTAAAACCATCCCTACTAAATATGTACCTCTTTTACAGCATGATGGAAAGCATTCCATCGTTTAAATAAAAAGAGTGAAATGTAGGGAAACAATAATATAGAATATAAAATACTGATATACTAGATTTAGTAAAAGCTTGTTATTCTGTAATCATTAGGTTCCTGTAACATATATATTGTGCTTTTGTATCACATATATTATTCCTTTCTATTTGTATCTCCTGTTATAAACATATTGTCATTAGCCCTCTGAAATGTATCTGGTATTTGTCAAACGTATGTCCCTGCCATTTGACCTGCTCATATCAATCTCTTTCTGTGCCACCTAAAAACATGGTACGTATCTGTTGGAACTCCAGCCATCAACAAAGGGGTAATTTACAACTCAATCCTAATTTATGTCTGATCTGGGTAAGATCTGGTCTTCAGGAGCCAGGCGCTAAGTGGCCAATTAAGTAAACAAAGATAAGACTAATTGGAAGTTTAGATTCCTTTGCAGGGCAACAAAGAATACACAAACATAAATTAAGGGGCCAGAATTGGGGATCTAACTGATGCTTTAAAGGTATAAAACGTGGTTACATCTTCTCTGAAGATGTGAACCCTCCCATATACATATCTCTTTGTATGTGTTTGGAATGGTTTTACCCAGCCTTTTGTCTTTGATCAAAGATTAAATGTTGATTCTTATTCAAGCCTCCGTTTAAGTCTTTCTTTTTGGTTCACTGAGAGCTTAAGCGTATAGCCGGACCTTACAAATAAATTAAATTAAATTTACAATTTCTATATTTCCTTTTTGCCATATTTATTCCTCATCTATTTTTGTAAAAAACCAATATTACCCTTCATCCTCATCTCTAATCTTAATCAAATTCAATTTTTCCCTTCTATTCTACATTATACCCCTTCCCATTGTCATCTATTTTTATATCCATCCTCACATTGTTTAATTATGTAATACAGTTGTTTAATACAAATTCAACATTTTAATATAAATCAATTAGTTATAAAACTATCTTTTTTGTATATTAATCAATATGAACATGAATATTCCAATTATTTCCATGCAATCCAATTTCTTACAAATCAATTAATTATTTTACCAATAATAATAAACCAAATAATTTCCCCCATATATTCCTCTGAACCACAACTTAACCATTTCTGCTTTCAACACAATATACAATTAATAGTATCTCAATTATTACAATTCCCTAGTTAAATACAGCTTTTTTTTCTTTTGTGTTTTAAAATCTTGAACTCTCCTCCTAAATTTCCCATTGTTTGCAGTTTTTCACCTACCTTTTTTGGGGAGGAAAAATAAAAATAAAAATAAATCTCTCTCTGCCTCATTTTGTCACGTTGCACCAAAGATCCTGGTTTCAGTTTCGTTTCTGCAGCTTAGCTAGGGGGAAAAAAAACTGCTTCAGGAACTCTTTACACTGATTGCCTGTAGGGCGGCCCTTTGAAGCCCCGGGCAAGAGTTTAAACAGTTTTTTTTTCTTCTAGCCATCAGCTGGGGCTCAAGAGGCAGCGGGACTCAGGAGGCAGAATGAAAAATCGGGACTTTTTTGAAACGCTGCGGGACGCGGGACAAATTGCTAAAAATCGGGACTGTCCCGCCAAAAGCGGGACGTCTGGTCACTTTATGAAAGAGTCTCCTGGGGGTTCCCATCAGTGAAGCTGAAAAGGGTCTCCTGGGGGTCGGAGGGAGAAGATGAGACCAGAAGGAGGCCCAATTCGGTGTCTGACCAAGAGAAAGGAGTTGAGTCCTTCCTGAGGACACCAAAGACACCCCGATGGTGGCGCTTCCCTCAGAGCCGAGTCTCTCTCTCAGTTCTTCCCGCCAAAATAGGCTCCTCCCACCCCTCTCGCATCCACTTTTCCCGCTCCTCCGTCTGAGGGAATCGAACTGGGAGGGGCGCGGCCAAGAGGAAAGGGGAGGACTCTCGCAAGCTCTCGCGTCGCTCACGTCTCACCTGGGGGGATCCAGTAAACTTCCCCCCCCACCGCCAGCAACATCAATGGTCCCTCCCACACTCCACCCCTTACCGTGTTTCCTCCTTCCCCCCCTTCGCTTCCAGGGCTCCCGCCAACGTCCCCACCAGCAGCGGCAACAGGCGGAGCCCATGGAGGCTTCCCATTAGCCGCCCCCCCCTCGCCCAAGAGGGGGGAGAAGTGGAATTGAGAGGGGGGGGCTTGACAGGGATACTTCGTAGTTGGCTTGCCAGGAATAAGTTGCGCCAATGGGAAGCTTCCCTTCTCTTGAGTCATCTGTCTCTGGGCAGAATCTCTGGTGATTTCTCCCTGCCGAGAAAGCCATTGGAGCAAAAAGGGAAAGGGGGAGGGGCTCCGCAGATTGTGTACGGCGGAAATGGGGGATCCCCAAGAGGACCCAGGCGGGCCCTGAGCGAAGGAATCTCTAGGGGAGGCAATGATTGCTGAGATGGGGAAATCCCAGGCTACGAGCCGATGAGGCCCCAAATCTAGAGGTCTCCTCCAGCCACGGCTCACTTGTTTTTCCCACGACCCCCGTGACACGTGTCTCTAGCCTTCCAGTGCAGGACCCACTCTGGCTTTCCAGAGGCCTTTCTGTCTGGCCCGTTTCCCTGACCTCCCGGGGAGTCTGACGGCTGAGAAGCATCTATATACACTGCTCAAAAAGATAAAGGGAACACAAGCAGAAGACATCCGAGATCTGAATGAATGAAATAGCCTTATTAAATACTTTGTTCCTTACATACAGTAGTTTTGTGTTCCCTTTAGTTGTTTGAGCAGTGTATAAACTACTGTATGTAACGAACAAAGTATTTAATAAGGCTATTTCATTCATTCAGATCTCCGATGTCTTCTGCTTGTGTTCCCTTTATGTTTTTTGAGCAGTATATATATATAAAAGCGAAAACCACTCACGCATTAATCACAAAATCTCCAGAACCGTAAAGCCTACAAACTTGAAATTTGCCACGTATGTTCCTCTTGGCTTCTAGGTGCTCACTAAGAAAGGATTTTTGGAAACGACCATCAGAGCATTAGTATTTCCTATCTTATTATAAGACGCTCTGGTGCTAATGAGCTAGACGTTCTACTCCCACTCCCAACTTGAAAATAACTCTGGAGAGAAGGGGATAGCATAGGGGAGGCTTCTGTGGGGCAAGCCTCAGGGAGAGAAGGGGCTAGAGAGGAGAGGCTTTTGTGGGGCAAAGCTGAGAGAGAGGAGGGGAGAGGAGAGACCGATCGTAACTACTCATTCATTTTCAAACTCTTTAAGTGTTGACTTATCAAGCCCTATCACATAGTTTCGGAGTGGAGCACAGATATTCGGCTAGTCAGGTGATAAAGGATGTTTTTTTCACATTTCTCTCTGTCTTCCAGGGTAGTGGCGTCTTTTCCCCCTCCAAGCTTTTCTCCCCATCCTTAATGACATTCTTTGCTTCTTTCCTGTGAACATCTACCAAGAGCCCCGTCGGACTCTGTTAGGGGGGTGTGGGCGGGTGGGCTCCTCCTTTGGCTTCGCTCCCTTTGCGGTGGATCAGCCAGAAAGGAGATCCGCTCAGAGATCCTGGTCTCCCGGGGACCTTCACTGGGTCTCCGGGGAAGAGACAGGAGGAGCCTCCGTGGCTTCAGGTCTGACAAGGGAAAGTCACTTTTACTTCCTGGGAATACTTTCGCTTTTCCCAGCCTTTTTTTTTTAAGCTTTGATGGTGTGAGTCTCTCTCTCCCTCCTCCTCCCGCTCTGAGCGTGTGTGTATGAGAGAGAGAGAGAGAGAAAGAATGAATCGATGGGCTCCCAAAAGGACGGAACCGACATTTGATCTCCGCCTGGCTTCCCCCCGGATCCCCAGGACAGATGCAGCTGCGTAGCCTCCAAAGCTGCCCCCCCCGCGGCCGCGACTTCACCCCAGCTGCCAGCAGGGGGTGCTGACGACAGACTAAGGCCACTGCGCATGCTCCACTGAGTGTTCGGGTAGTTGGCCTGAGAGTTGCTCCCTGGGAATCCGGTGGGTGCGGGCAAGAGGGGATCCCGCGACTCAGATCTTGCCCAGGGGAGGGAAGGAGATTCTGAGGTTGGAGGGAGCGGGAAGTCCGCCCCATAAGTGCTCTTGGCTGCGCATGGGGGGAGATCCACGAATTGGGGAGGGGGGAGGAGAGAAGGAAGCCTAAAGGAATCCCCTGCTCACATCTCCATTTAGATCCAGATCCCGAGACTGGGAGGATCCTTGGAGAGCCAGCGGAGACCAGTTGCCCGGCGGTGCCAGTGGCTGGAAGATCCTCTCTGAGCCTGGCAGAGAAGAGAGAAGCAGGAAGAGCTGCAGGTCAGAGAAGCTTCTTTTAGGAAATACGGATCTCCCTGATGGGGTTTTGGAGATTAATAATGCAAGTAGATCTTTAGTGACACTCATGAGTAATGAGTAACGCGCATGCTCAAGATGGCGGATTCGGTCTGAGGCGCTCCCGGGATGGGGGCGACCTCCGGCGTTTTTGGGACCTTGGGGGGCTGAATTTGACCCTCCTGGCCCCCAGTCCTAGAGAAGGGAGCTTCTTCTCGACACGTTGAGGGGTTTTTCGCCCCCGGCGTTTGTGGAGCGTGGAAGGAACCCTGGTGGAAACGTTAGTGTTATAGAATGATGAGACTGAACAACATTCCTGGGTCAGCCAGATGCAGTTTATTGCGCAAGGTTCAGAGGCAGTTTGGTACTTGCAATTCTGAACCAAGAAGAGCTCTGAAACAACTGCTTTTATACATTTCCAAGATACAGGATTCTGCGAGCACAGCAGTTTTCCATATATGGTTAACATACATTTGTTTTAAGATAATTGACACTTCCTAATTACTGAATTCCTATATTATTTTCTAGTTCATAAGATTATCGTAGCTAAACATCCTTTATTAGTTCTGTGATTGCTGATGCGTAGGTTTATGCCTTCCTTGGTTAATAAGTAACTTCTTGTTCCATATGGATGTCCTTGCATTCTTGACAACTAGGCCCCTCAGAAGATATATATATATTATATATATTATATATTACATCCTGGGAGATATATATATATATATATCTCCCAGGATGTATTTTAGCTGACTTAGTGTAATCTCCAAACAAGCACATTTCTTTCTTACAATAATGTGAATAAAGAGGGCCCTTCAGTGTTCATATAGCTGACCCTGCATCATTCACATTATTAGGGACTGGTCCTTCTGCTCCCTGCAGGAATCTGGAGGTCCCTTGAGTTGGGGCTGCAAACGGGGGGCGGGGGGGTATAAATGACCAAAGTCCTGGGGAGAGGGAAAAGTTGGAGGATGGCCGAGGGCTGGCTTTGGGTTGCCTCACGCCATATCCTCCCCCCCACTTCCTTTGGCCTATGCAGGCCCTATTATGGTCATTACCCCAGCTGCTTTTTGCCTCGTAAGCCATTTTCTCCGTCTTTCCGTGTGTCATCAAACTCTGCCCCCAGGTTTACTATCTACTTCTGCCTCCTGGACTGGCTTATTCCATCTATTTATTCCATCTACACCCCGGACTGTTGGACAAATGGACAGCTATAACGTGGGCCCTGAGGGAGTCCGGATTATTACTACCATTCCTTAACAGAGGGGACAGTTTTTTGAACTTCTCCATAGCATATTCCACGTGACCAGACATCGTGAGAGGATGCGTGGGAGGAACACCCCCTGGATTTACTGAAATGGCATAAGACTCCTCCCACTATCATGGGAGGACAGTGGAGTCCAGTTACCCACGCTTTTGAGTTTGCTGCCTCCGTCCTTAGACTTTTAGACTCTACGGAACCCTTGCCAGAGGTCATCTCCACCTTTCCCGTTTTGTAGATGTACTCTACTGTTGAACTTCTTGCGCTGCGAGACTCGCCCCCTCTTGCAGGTCTGGCCCTCCACGTTATCGAGGGCCTACCTCGATGACAGGTTTTGGAACCCAGAGAGGTGGCATGCCGCGAAGAGGGGGTTGAGGGGTTTTTTACATAAATTTTTAGTCAAACTTTTAAGGGGCTCCGGGGGGGGTCAGATTATAATTCGGACTGTGGGTATGGGGGATAACCCACTAAGGGGAAGGTCAGGTCTGGCTGTGAAGCGCGGCATGGGGGGTGGGGGACCCGGGGTCGAGGGGGGGGTGAGAGCTTATCCAGATAGTGTTTCTAACATCAATATCGTGACTGGGAGGGGCAGATACAGCGGGAGCAGGGGGCCATATCGTGTTAGGGGAACGCGCGCTTGCTGTTTACGAGCGGTGGCGCACTCCGGCCCCCAAGTCTCCACTCGTTCCCCAGGTAGCACAGACCCTCAAGGCCCGGGCCTTCAGCTGATGTTGTGCAATGCCAGGTCTGTAGTACATAAGGCCCCCCTCATTTGTGATCTTGTTCAGGAGGGGGGAGCAGACCTGGCAGGTATTACAGAGACCTGGTTGGGCCAGGAGGGGGGTTCCCCTCGTTGAAATGTGCCCACCAGGTTTCCACGCATTCCATCAGCCGAGGTCACAGGGGTGGGGCGGGGGGTAGCGGTTATTATTAAAGAAGGTCTTAGACCGAGGGAGGCCACTGTTCCTCAGACGGCCGGCTATGAGTCCCTCCTTGTGAAGTGGGGCCATGGGGTACAGATGGGTTTGCTGATCACGTACCTCGCTCCCTGCCATGTGGCAGCAGCCCTGCCCAAGCTACTCAACGTCATCGCAGCGGTGGCGGTTGATACCCCTAGACTTATGGTCATGGGGGATTTCAACCTGCCGTCCGTCGGTGAGGCATCTGAGGTGGCTCAGGAGTTCATGGCTTCCATGACAGCTATGGACCTGACCCAGCTAATTCATGGCCCTACCCACACGGGGGGAAACACGCTGGACCTGGTTTTCGTCTCTGGACAGTGGTTGAGTGATCTTGAAATAGGGGGATATAGTCACCGAGCCCTTGTCATGGTCAGATCACTCTCTCCTTCGTCTTGCCCTTCGAACCGCTGCACCTCGCCGCAGGGAGGCGGAGCCAGTAAGATGGTTCTGCCCCAGGCGCCTGATGGAACCTGACAGGTTCCAGATGGAGCTTGGGCCATTCCCTGAGGCTCTGGCTCATGCCTCGACTGGAGACCTAGTGGCCGCCTGGGATAGGCAGCCGCTGGAGCTCTGGATCAGGTCATGCCTTTGCGGCCTCTGACCCGGCGCCGATCTCATCTGGCTCCTTGGTTCACCGAGGAGCTAAGGGAGATGAAGCGCCGAAAAAGACGCCTAGAGAGTAGTTGGAGGGCCAGTCTTTCTGAATCTGACCGGACACTGGTAAGATCTCATATTAAGAATTACCTAGTGGCGATAAAAGCAGCAAAATGTAACTATTTTGCTGCTCTTATTCCATCATCAGATAACTGCCCGGCCGCCCTGTTTAGGGTGACCCGCTCCCTGCTCCACCAGGGAGTGCGGGAGGACCCCTTGGAGGGTAGAGCCAAGGACTTTGTACAGTATCTGCATGAGAAAATCACTCAGATTCGGGAAGGTCTGGGCTCCGACTGGGTAGTTCCAGGGGGGATGACTGAGGCAGGTCTTGAGAATGTTATCTGGGATGAGTTTGATCCTGTGACTCCTGAAGACATGGACAGGATTCTGGGTAGACTGAATGCGACCACATGTTTGTTGGACCCGTGTCCCTCCTGGTTAGTGCTGGCTTCTCGAGAGGTGACACGAGGCTAGCTCCAGGGGATTACAAATGCTTCATTGAGTGAGGGTGACTTCCCCGCCGCCTTGAAAGAGGCAGTGGTGAGGCCTCTCCTCAAGAAGCCTTCCCTGGACCCGGCAGTGTTGTCTAATTATCGTCCGGTCTCCAACCTTCGCTTTGTGGCGAAGGTTGTTGAGAGTGTGGTTGCGCGACAGCTCCCCCAGCACCTGGATGAAACGGTGTATCTGGATCCGTTCCAGTCGGGCTTCAGGCCTGGGTACAGCATGGAAACAGCATTGGTCGCGTTGGTTGATGATCTCTGGAGGGCTCGGGACAGAGGTTGCTCCTCTGTCCTGGTCCTATTAGATCTCTCAGCGGCTTTTGATACCATCGATCATGGTATCATGCTGCACCGGCTGGAAGAGTTAGGAGTGGGAGGCACTGTGTTGTGGTGGTTCTCCTCCTTTCTCTCCGACCGGTGGCAGTCTGTGTTGACAGAGGGGCAGAGGTTGACCCCGAGGCGCCTCATTTGTGGGGTGCCACAAGGGTCGGTCCTCTCGCCACTTTTGTTCAACATTTATGTAAAGCCGCTGGGCGAGATCATCCGTGGTTTCGGGGTGAAGTATCATCAGTACGCTGATGATACTCAGCTGTACATCTCCACCCCGGACCACCACAACAATGCCCTTGAAGTGATGTCCTGGTGCCTGGAGGCCTTACGGGTCTGGATGGGGAGAAACAGGCTCAGACTCAACCCATCCAAGACCAAGTGGCTGTGGTTTCCAGCGTCCCAATATAGTCAGTTGGTGCCATCACTGACTATTGGGGGCGAACCACTGGCCCCCATGGAGAGGGCTCGCAACTTGGGCGTCCTCCTGGACTCACAGCTGTCTTTAGAAGAGCACTTGACGGCCGTGGCCGGGAGGATTTTTCATCTGATTCGCCTAATCCGCCAGTTGTGTCCCTTTCTGGATCGGGACTCCTTACACACGGTCACTCATGCCCTCGTCACTTCCCGCCTGGACTACTGCAACGCTCTCTACATGAGGCTCCCCTTGGGGAGCACCCGGAGGCTCCAACTGGCGCAGAGTGCAGCCGCGCAGGTGGTTATGGGAGCGACATGGCATTCCCGTGTAACACCTCTCCTGCACGAGCTACATTGGCTCCTGGTGGTCTTCTGGGTGCGCTTCAAGGTTTTGGTTACCACCTTTAGAGCGCTCCATGGCTTAGGACCTGGTGGGGGAAGAATTTACTGTGAATACCATAGAGCAAGCCTATGGTTTGCCTTTCGCAGAAGACCAACCCTGTAGGGGCCACCTTGAGTTGCATTCTGGCTCCTCCTCCATCCTGAGATCTTTGTTTTTGGCCTTCCTTCAGAGATAATTTTGACTAAATTCCTACACAGATCATTGCTGGGCCATTTCCAACACCACCTGTCCTTTCAGGCATGTTTCCTGGATTGCTAGAATATCACTAATTTCTCTGATTTCAAACTGCAGAGAGGGGGGGGGAGAATTTACTGTGATTGAGCAAATACTTTGGTTGCCAAGAGTATAAACTTCCATATGTTGTTCCAAAGATTAGAACAATCTAACTGAGATTTGATCTTCAGCATGTGGTGGGTTTGGTCTTCTCCTTTCATTCTTGGCTCCCATGATGGAGCCTATGAAAGGCAGACTGTAGAAGAGAGAGAACTGGAAGTTTCCTGGGCAGGACAGGAAGAAATCTTAAATTGTGCCTTCAAGCTAGAAAAGATGAAGTTGAACCCTTTCCTGTCTCTCTCCTTCCCAGTGGACAAAATGGAGTCACCATTCCTCATTGAATCATCTCCTTCTATTGGTGGAGCTGAAAGAGCCGCTGGATTCCTGACTCAGGTAGGAAGGAAGAGATTAGCAGCTAAAATGGGGGAGGAGTAGGAGACCTCTGGTTTCCTTTGGGGACTCAACCTATGATACTGCTATTCCTGAGCAAAGCACAACAAGGAAATTAGAAATTTACATTTACGATCAGTCAAATAGGCCCACCTCTCAACAAAGATTTGGAGGTCTATGGAATTCCTTAGTGGTTGTATTATTCTGGTTTCAAAAAATGCCTCATGGCAGTTCATGTTATCTGTCCCAAGTAAAGCAGAAAGGAAACATAAATAATTAGGCTAAATCTACTTTATTTTAAGTATAATCCTCTTTTCCTATCATTGTGGAAAGGGATAGAAAAGGAGAAGCAGAAATTGCTTTGTGTATCATCTACATCTTGATGCCTGGAAGTGCCTCCCTAATATTTTCATGAATGTTCATCAGCGGGGGTTTTTTCAATTTAACTTTTTTATTGTGTGTGTGTATGTATATATATATATATATATATGTAGGTCTTTGGTTATTCGGGTTTTCTCCCGTGTAAAATTGGAAGTGTCTTGGCGACGTTTTGACGAAGTCTCATTTGTCATCTTCAGGCTGGTGTTTGGTTAGTATGCGAGACAGAAATCCCACAGAACCCCGTGCAAACATCACAAAACGTTGGCGCCAATGGCAGATGGTGTGTCTAAGGCACTCTATGCCACTTGATCAAGGCAGGTTAATGACATTGAAGGTCAGGAGAGTGAGTCAAGATGATAAAACATGCTGTAATTGGCTGAATTCTGCCCTTTTTATCATATAATGTGTTGAGTCCAACTAGGCAAATGTCCAATCAAGAATTTTCACTTTGAAAGGTGCTTTTTTGAAGAGGCAACTGGACTTTCTGGTTGTTCTTTGAAGACATTTCACTTCTCATCCAAGAGGTTTCTTCAGCTTGGATGAGAAGTGAAACGTCTTCAAAGAACAACCAGAAAGTAAAGTTACCACTTCAAAAAAGCACTTTTGGGACAACCGTGTCCATGGATGACTGAGAATCTCCAGACATTTGTGCTTATAGTATTTCCATATTGAAGGAGATCTTGCAAATTCTATCAAGTCTGCTCACAGGGTTCCTTCCTTCTTTAGGATCCTGTGTCCTTTCGGGAGGTAGCCATCAATTTCAACAGTGAAGAGTGGTTGCTACTTGATCCCAGCCAGAAAGCCCTGTATCAAGAAGTCATGTTGGAAACGTCTAGGATGGTGGCCTCTTTAGGTAAGGGTTCCTCTGGAGGACAATTTAAATCAGAGCAAAGTGTCGCTAGATTCTTTATTTACAACTTAGATCTATACGTAATTTGTTAAAAATTATTTCATCTCTTCTGTTTTTCTCTTATATTAATTCCAGTCCCCGTTCATGGTCTTCTAAGTAGCACAGTTTCATTTTGAAGAAATAGATCAGTGTGGTGACCAGGAAGTGTTGACATTCAGTCTTGTGGTCACCCTTGGGCCCTGGGACATTACTGCAGAGTGATTGGGAAGATGATCCGAGAGATGTTTTTGCCTGTTGCAATTGTCTTACTCAGCAACAAATTTTGTCTTGCTATGTGTTGTAGTGACATATGTTGTCTTATTGCATGCAAGTTGGGTGTGTCATAGTTGACACAATTTGTGTGTCAGGTCCAGATGTCAAGACTTGGTTTTGCTTTAAATTTTTAACTGCCAAGAATGAGGGTTAGATAAGCAGCCATGCTAGTCTTTAAGTTAATAACTAATATTCATTTCCCTTATTCCTCTTCCGCAGATGCTTAGTTGTAGATAAATCTATACATAGGGACACCAACGTGGACATTGTAGATTATTCTAATTTATTTTTCTTCCCCCACAAGCACTTGATGCGCAGAAGAAGGAAAGCGACCAAGAGCCAAATTTAATGCCACTGCAAATAATCAAAACTGAAATTCCTGAGGAGACCTCTACAAATACGTGGGGAAGGAAGAAACATGAAAAGAAGCACAATTGGAGAGAAAAATCTATTCTTGAATCTGTGGAAATGGATCGTTTCCTGACCCAACCTGATTCCAAAGAAAATACGGAGAAATGTCAAAGTAGAAAAAGATTCAAATCAAATCCCAATGTTAGTTTCCACTGCAAAACGGGAAATAACTTCATCAGTAATAATCTTACTGCACATAAAATGAACGAGGAAAGGGAGAACCCCTACAATGGTGTGGACTGTGGAAAAAGCGTTGAGACAAGAGGTAATTTAACTTCCCATAAAGAGATCCACACCAGAGAAAAATGCGATAACTGCCTAGAATATGGAAACAGCTTCAGGTACAGAGAGTGTCTGAAATCCCACAAAAGGGGGGGAGGGGTAAAACCTTATAAATGTGTGGATTGTGGGAAAAGGTTCAGTACGAAGAATTCCCTTACGTACCATAAAACGATACATACAGGAGAAAAACCCTTTAAATGCATGGAGTGTGGAAAGACTTTCAGGCAAATCTATTACCTTGTTTCCCATAAACGGGTCCACACAGGAGAAAAACCCTATAAGTGCATGGAATGTGGAAAGAGCTATAAAAGCAGCAGTCAGCTGAACCTTCATAAACGGCTCCACACAGGAGAGAAACCCTATAAATGCATGGAGTGTGGAAAGAGCTTCAAGGGAAGCAGTTCTCTTAATCATCATATACTGATCCACACAGGAGAAAAACCCTATAAATGCCTAGACTGTGGGAAGGGCTTCAGCCAAAGCGGTACCCTTGCTTCCCATAAACAGGTCCACACAGCAGAAAAACCCTATAAGTGCATGGAGTGTGGAAAGAGCTATAAAAGCAGCAGTTACCTGAACTATCATAAGCGGCTCCACACAGGAGAAAAACCCTATACATGCCTGGAGTGTGGAAAGAGCTTCAGAATGAAAAGTGCTCTTACTTCTCATGAACGGATCCACACAGGAGAAAAACCCTATACGTGCCTGGAGTGTGGAAAGAGCTTCAGAATAAAAAGTGATCTTACTTCTCATAAATGGATCCACACAGGAGAAAAACCCTATACATGCCTGGAGTGTGGAAAGAGCTTCAGAATAAAAAGTGCTCTTACTTCTCATGAACGGATCCACACAGGAGAAAAACCCTATACATGCCTGGAGTGTGGAAAGAGCTTCAGAATAAAAAGTGCTCTTACTTCTCATGAACGGATCCACACAGGAGAAAAACCCTATACATGCCTGGAGTGTGGAAAGAGCTTCAGAATAAAAAGTGATCTTACTTCTCATGAACGGATCCACACAGGAGAAAAACCCAATACATGCCTGGAGTGTGGAAAGAGCTTCAGAATAAAAAGTGATCTTACTTCTCACCAAAGGGTACATACTGGAGAAAAACCCTTTAAATGCATAGAATGTGGGAAGGGCTTCATAAGTAGTAAGTACCTGATGTGCCACAAAAGGATCCATTTTGGGGGGAAACGCTATAAATGTGTGGATTGTGGAAAAAGTTTCAGAACGAAGGCTTTCCTTACAGCCCACGAAAAGATACATACAGGAGAAAGACCCTTTAAATGCATGGAGTGTGGAAAGAGCTTCAGGCAAAGCGGTGCTCTTTATCGTCATACACTGGTCCACACAGGCGAAAGACCCTTTAAATGCATGGAGTGTGGAAAGAGCTTCAGCCAAAGAGGTAGCCTTGCTTCCCATGAACTGATCCACACAGGAGAAAAACCCTATAAATGCCTAGACTGTGGGAAGAGCTTCAGGCAAAGCGGTAAACTTATTTCCCATAAACTGGTCCACACAGGAGAAAGACCCTTTAAATGCATGGAGTGCGGAAAGAGCTTCACTGTAAAGAGTGCTCTCAATTCTCATAAATGGGTCCATACAGGAGAGAAACCCTATAAATGCATGGAGTGTGGAAGGAGCTTCACTGTAAAGAGTGCTCTCAATTCTCATAAATGGGTCCATACAGGAGAGAAACCCTATACATGCATGGAGTGTGGAAGGAGCTTCAGTGCAAAGAATGCTCTTACTTCTCATAGACGGATCCACACAGGAGAAAAACCCTATACATGCCCAGACTGTGGGAAGAGCTTCAGGCACAGTGTGTGTCTGAAACTCCACAAAAGGGTCCATATAGAGGGAAAGCCTTAGAAATGTGTGGATTATGGAAAATGGTTCAGTGTGAAGAGTTCCCTTACTTCGCATGAAAGTGTACAGATTGTGGACAGATCTTCACTGCCAGTACGTCTCTGATTTACCATAAAAGGAGCCACACAGGAGAGAAACCCTATAAATGTTTGGAATGTGGAAAGAGCTCCAGATTTGAAAATCACCTTACTTTCATAAGGGGATCCACACTGGAGGGAAATAGAAATGTATGGAATTCAGAAGGAGCTTTTGTGAAAACAGAATGCTTCTCAAGAAATAATCCACAGTGGGCAGAAAACTAGTGGAAAGCCATCAACGTTTTCCCCTTATTTATATGACCCACAACACGGGTGGGTTTTAAAATTTTTTACTACTGGTTCTGTGGGCGTGGCTTATTTTGTGGGTGTGGCTTGGAGGTCATGTGACCAGGTGGCCGTGGCTATGTGTATAGGGACTACTCAGAGGGCTGAAAAAAGCCGTTTCTGACAGGTCCTCGCACTTTTGACTGGTCCTCACACTTATGACCATCCTCACATTTATGCCCGTGCAGCATTCTTAACAACCATGTCACTCATTTCACAGCTGCTTCTCTTCACCATGGTGATAAGATAGGGCAAAAACGTAAAATGTGAGGACAATCGTAAGTTCGAGAACTGGTCAAAAGTGCGAGGACTAGTCAAAAATAACTTTTTCAGCCCTCTGAGTAGTCCATGTGCACAAAAGGACTACCCAGAGGGCTGAAAAAAGTAATTTCTGACAGGTCCTCGCACTTTTGACCGGTCTTCGCACTTATGACTGGTCATCATTTATGCCCATTGTAGCATTCTTAACAACCGTGTCACTCATTTTACAACTGCTTCTCTTCACCATGGTGACAAGATAGGGCAAAAACGTAAAATGTGAGGACAGTCGTAAGCTTGAGGACTGGTCAAAAGTGCGAGGACCAGTCAAAAATAACTTTTTCAGCCCTCTGAGTAGTCCATATGCATAAAAGGATACAGCAATAGAGAGGGATGAAGGAAGGGAAGGGAAATTAGAGTAGGAGGGAGGGTAAGAGAGGGAGGAAGAGAGGAGGAGAAGGAGAAAGGAAGAGGAAGTAGGGAGGAGGAGAAGAGTGGGGGAAGAGAAAGTAAGAAGGAAAGAAAAGAGAGAGGTGGTAGGTTTGAGGAGAAAGATTGCTGTACAATAAAAAAGATGAAAGGGAAGAAAACCAACCCCAAACAAATATAAAGATATTAAGATAAAGAATGAATTGTTAAACTTTAAAGAATAAGAGAGAACAAATATGAATAAATAGCAATAATTAGAAACACACATACAAACATACAATGTATTTTCTTTGAACAGAGTATTTGGCCGGTTCACAAATTTAAAACAGTGTTTAGTCATTTCAATTAAATTTACAATTTCTATATTTCCTTTTTGCCATATTTATTCCTCATCTATTTTTTAAAAAAACCAATATTACCCTTCATCCTCATCTCTAATCTTAATCAAATTCAATTTTTCCCTTCTATTCTATATTATACCCCTTCCCATTGTCATCTATTTTTATATCCATCCTCACATTGGTTAATTATGTAATTATGTAATAGTTGTTTAATACAAATTCAACATTTTAATATAAATCAATTAGTTACGGTATATAACTATCTTTTTTGTATATTAATCAATATGAACATGAATATTCCAATTATTTCCATGCAATCCAATTTCTTACAAATCAATTAATTATATTTACCAATAATAATAAACCAAATAATTTCCCCCATATATTCCTCCAAACCACAACTTAACCATTTCTGCTTTCAACACAATATACAATTATTAATAGTATCTCAATTATTACAATTCCCTAGTTAAATACAGCTTTTTTTCTTTTGTGTTTTAAAATCTTGAACTCTCCTCTTTTGCCCCTAAATTTCCCATTGTTTGCAGTTTTGCACCTACCTTTTTTGGTGAGGAAAAAGAAATCTCTCTCTGCCTCATTTTGTCATCTTGCAGCAAAGACCCTGCTTTACTTTCAGTTTCGCTTTAGCTAGGGGAAAAAAAATCTGCTCCAGCAATTTACCTCTTTGCAGCTAGCTAGCAACAGAGCCCTGAGCAAAACAGCTGAGAGTCGGGAGGCTGATCAAATCAACTTATAGTAATTAACCTATGCTGAAGCTGAAAGGGGCTGTTTTTTCTATTTTTGCAGGCATCAGTCTACTCATTTGTTTTCTTTTAACACTGATCAGCTGTAGGGCGGCCCTTTGAAGCCCCATGGCAACAATTTAAACAGTTTTTTTCTCTCTAGCCATCAGCTGGGACTCAGGAGGCAGCAATAGATTGGGAGTGGGCGGGGTAAGCGAACGGCGACCTGCGATCCAACAGAGGCAGAGGGCGAGGATGAGTGAAGATGGGGGGGGCGAGAGAGGGCTTTGGCGACCCCTGTGAAATGGCCATTCGACCCCCAAAGGGGTCGCGACCCCCAGGTTGAGAACCACTGATCTAAAGATATGTAGTGTAAAAAGAATAATACCTGTGGAAAATTGTGGTGTACAGTCTTCCTTCTTTCAGAGTATCGCCATAGGAGCAACTGAATAAATGTACAGATTTTGGGAAGCTCTGGATAGATTTTTTAATTCCAGCGGTATTACCTATTCAGTTAAGTTATCATTCAAAAAAATATGTTAAACAATTGCCCCTCTCATTGCTCCAAAACCTTAAAAGTTCTGCTTGGTAACAACCTGCTTTATTTAGGCAGAAATTGAATCAACATCTGAAGTGAGTCTGGGATCAGCCTCCAGGCTTTTTGAAAATCTGGTTTTATGCAAGCAAAGCAAGGGAAAAGGGATGTGTGTATATCCATTTTAGCTCTAATTGTGTTGAAAATAGTGGCCTTCTTTAAACAAGTAGGAAGGCATTTAAGCTATTTTTTTGTCAGATACTGTATGTGCACAAGTTTGGTTGCACCTTCCGTCGCGGGCTCAATCTTCTTTTAAATGTAAATTTTAATTTGTTTTTAAATTACTGGGTATTTTAAATTGTTTCAGCCAAATTATTTAATTCATTTTATTCTATTTTAAATTTTTGCATTTATGTCTTTTACTCTGTGGCTATTCACCGCCCTGAGTCCTTCGGGAGTAGGGCGGTATAGAAATCTAATAAAATAAAAAAATAAATAAATAAGTGAAAGTCTCTCCCAAATATTTATATGTACAGGCAGAGGAATAGAATCGAAGTCTTGTGAAGTATTAATACAGTTCTATAAAGCTTTAATAAGCTTTGGAACAGTTTGTCTTCCGAAATCATGGGCGCTTCATCACTGGAGGTTTTTAAGAAGTGAGTTAGAAATGACTTGTCTGAATTGGTATAGGCTGGGCTGGGTCTCCTGCTTGATAAGATTTCCAAGGTCGCTTCCAGCTCTGTTCTGTTCTATTCTCCCAACTGAAAGGGACTTTAAAAATGGTTTTATTGATCCAACAATGTACCATATGAGCAATATTTTTTCAAAAAGAAATATTGCTTGATTTAAATTATTCATTGTTCAGTTTCTCAGATTAAAGTTATCAGTACCGAACCGTATTTTCTATTTCTCAAGATTTTTTTTTTTTTGTAAATATTTTGTATTTTTTTTCCCCCAAACATAAACATAAAATATAACTTTTAAGAACAAAGTCTCGATCCGGTCATAGATGGTTACAACGCTTACATTCCTTTAACAAGCTCCATTCAATTTCCATTACATCTTTTGCGGAAAGAAATTCAAGACATAAAAAAACCCAAATTTTAACATAAAGTCTAGCATCTCCACCTAAACAAATCCATTATATCAATACAATTTTACTTTCAAACTAACTTTCACTCATTTTTATATCTATATGTCAATCCTGATTTTATCTTGTTCTTCACCTTGTATCTTTTACCATCAGTGTCAAAATAATTTTTAACAATATTCTAACCTCTTATTCCAATTATTTACCTTACAATTTTATCACCACAAATCTTTAATTTCAAGTTCAATACAACTCCATTTTTATTACACTTTCTAAAACAAATTTCTATCTAATTCTTAATCTCTTGACCCTTTTCCTCGAATCTTAGTATCTTAAACACACTTAAAAACACTTATCATCTATTACAATTTCCATGTTACACAGATTTATCACAAAAACATGTTTTATTTAAACTAATTTCTAGCATATTTTCTTCCATACCTCCCTCTATTGCTTGGCTGTTTTCCAGCATATTATGTTTGGCTGATTCCCAGCATAGTCTCCTCCAAGTCTACCACCATTATTAGCTAATTTCCAGCATATTTTCCAGCATAATCTCCTCCAACTCTCCACCTATTTGTTTGGCTGAATTCCAGCATTTTGTTGGCTGATTTCCAGCATATTTTGTGGCGAAGGTTGTTGAGAGTGTGGTGGCACAACAACTGCCCGGGCACCTGGATGAAGCTATCTATCTAGACCCGTGCCAGTCGGGCTTCAGGCAGGGGCACAGCACAGAAACGGCATTGGTCGCGTTGGTGGATGATCTCTGGAGGGCTCGGGACAGGGGTTGCTCCTCTGTCCTAGTCCTATTAGATCTCTCAGCGGCTTTTGATACCATCGACCATGGTATCATGCTGCGGCGGTTAAGAGGGTTAGGAATAGGGGGCACCGTTCTGCGGTGGTTCTCCTCCTTCCTCTCCGACCGCTCGCAGTTCGTGTTGGCAGGGGGGCAGAGGTCGACCTCGAGGCATCTCGCATGGGGAGTGCCACAAGGGTCGGTCCTCTCGCCCCTTCTGTTCAACATTTATGTGAAGCCACTGGGTGAGATCATCCGTGGTTTTGGGGTGAAGTGTCATCTGTACGCTGATGATACTCAGCTGTACATCTCCACCCCAGACCACCCCAACGATGCCCTTGATGTGATGTCTCGCTGCCTGGAGGCCGTGCGGGTCTGGATGGGGAGGAACAGGCTCAGACTCAACCCGTCCAAGACCGAGTGGCTGTGGCTGCCGGCGTCCCGATATAGTCAGCAGGTGCCATCGCTGACTATTGGGGGTGAATCTTTGCCCCCCACAGAGAGGGCTCGCAATCTGGGTGTCCTCCTGGACGCACGGCTGTCTTTAGAAGAGCATATGACGGCCGTGGCCAGGGGGGCCTTTTATCAGGTTCGCCTGATCCGCCAGTTGCAGCCCTTTCTGGACCGGGACGCCTTGCGCACGGTCACTCATGCCCTTGTCACCTCCCGGCTGGACTATTGTAATGCTCTCTACATGGGGCTCCCCTTGAAGAGCACTCGGAGGCTCCAACTGGTCCAGAATGCGGCCGCGCGGGTGGTTATGGGCGCAACTCGTTGTGCCCGCGTGACACCCCTCCTGCGTGAGCTGCACTGGCTCCCAGTGGTCTTCCGGGTGCGATTCAAGGTGTTGGTTACCACCTTTAAAGCGCTCCATGGCATAGGACCCGGGTACCTTCGAGACCGTCTTCTGCCACCAATAGCCTCCCACCGACCAGTCCGCTCCCACAGAGAGGGTCTCCTCAGGGTGCCATCAGCCAAGTTATGTCGGCTGGCGACACCCAGGGGGAGGGCCTTTTCTGTGGGAGCCCCAGCCCTGTGGAATGAACTGCCCCCGGAAATACGCAAGATCTCCGACCTCCGAGTGTTTCGTTGCGCACTGAAGACCCTGTTGTTCCGCCAGGCCGGGCTATCAACTTAATAATTTTAATTGGGGTATTTTAAATGTTTGGGGTTTTAAATCGGCCAAATCTATGTAATTATTTTAATTTTTAATTATTGTTGTGTGTTGTGTTTTTAAATTGGCTGTACACCGCCCTGAGTCCTTCGGGAGAAGGGCGGTATAGAAATAAAATTATTTATTTATTTATTTATTTATTTATATTATGTTTGGCTGATTTCCAGCATAGTCCCTCCATAGTCCCACTCTTGTTTGGCTGATTTCCAGCATAGTCCCCTCCAGGGCTCCCACTCTTGTTTGGCTGATTTCCAGCATTTTAACTAGTTTCCAATGTATTTCCTCTGAGTCTCAAACTCTTATCTAGTTGGTATCCATCTCTCTTATTTTAATTTTCTCTTATAATATAGTTACCTATTTTATGTCAGTTTCCCAACATGCTCTTTCAAATTAATTCTCAATATATTTCATAATAATCATCATTTCCAGCATATGTTAAATTAAATCGCAGTTTGTTGCTAAAATCTGTGTATCTTATAGTTTGTTCAATAAAACCTTAATCAAACATAATCACCATTCTAGCATTTGTTTGCATATTAAAATTAAAACATGTTACATCAAACAGTAAATTTTCTTAAAGTTGTCTTGCATTGAAATATACTCTTCTTTATTGTTTTTAACCACCCATATATCATCCTCTATTTTAATTACCATCCCTTATTTTCTATTTTGATCACTCAAAAAACCCTCCTGTTTTTATCCAAAAATCATATATACCTTTAGGCTTTTAAACTTT